CCGCCTGCCCCGACGACGACGACGACGCGACCGTCGGGTCCGAGGAGTCCATCCCCGAGATGAATTCCGGGGCGAACCCGTCCATGTTCGCGGCCGTCGTCGACTCGAAGCCCGACGACGACGACGACGGCGACGGCGACAAGTACAAGATCCCCGAGGACGACGACGACGGCGCGGCGATGGTGACCATGGAGGCGGACGACGACGACGACGACCGGGCCATGGCCGCGCCGCCGGACGACGGGCCCGCCGTCGCGGAGGACGAGCCGGTCGTCGCGGCGGAGGCGCCGGCGGCCGCGCCGAAGGCGGCGCCGCCGCCGCCGCCAAAGCCCGCGTACCAGAGCCCGAAGGCGCTCTCGCCGCCGCCGAAGGCGCTCGCCGTCGCGGCGCTCGCCGGCGCCGGCGCCGTCGCCGCGAAGCCCGCGCTGAGCGCGGAGGAGCGCGCGTCGTCGCGGCGGCGGTCCATGTCCGCCGCGAAGGAGGACGAGGCCTTCGAGGCGCGCATCATCGCCGAGCGCGCGCGCGCCAAGGAGCGGGCCGCGGCCGAGCACGACCGCTACCTCGCCGTCGCGGCGCGCGCGCACGGCGACGCGCTGGCCGCGGATTCGGCCGCGCACGAGCTCCGCGCGCGCGCGGCCGCGGACGCGCTCGCGGCCGAGGCCGGCGCCGCGGCGTCGTCCAAGGCGCGCGGCGAGGCGGAGACGGCGCGCGCGGCGGCCCACGCGACCCACGAGGCCGCGGCCGCGGACGAGGCGACGGCGGCGGACGCGCGCCGGGCCCGCGAGACCGCGGACGCGGACGCGGCCGCGGCGGCCGAGGCCCTCGCGGCGGCCGAGGCCACGGCCGCGGCGAAGAAGCTCGCCGTCGAGCGGGCCGAGGCCACGTACGAGGAGAAGGCCAAGGCCGACCGGACCGAGGCGCGCGCCAAGGCCGCCGCCGAGGCCAAGGCCTACTTCGAGGCGAAGCGCAAGGAGGAGGCCCAGGCCGCGTCCGTCAAGGAGGAGGAGGAGGCCGAGAAGGTCGCGGAGATGGACGAGGACGAGAAGAAGAAGTGGGACGAGGAGCAGGCGCGCAAGAAGCACGAGGCCGCGAAGACGAAGCACTTCGCGCGCCTCGCCGCGGCCCAGGGCGGCAACCAGCGCTTCCTCTCGCTCGGGAACCGGGGCCGCGGCGGCGGCCGGTCCGGCCGCGGGCCCGCGCGCGGCGGCCGCGGCCGCGGAAAGAAGCCGACCTACTCCGAGGCCGCCGTCCAGGAGACGGCCGCCGCCGCCGCCGCGGCGAGCGCGAGCGCGGCCATCGCCCACGACGAGGCCCAGAAGGCCGAGGTCTTTCTGGAGGCGCGCCGGGGCTCGACGATCACGGCCGCGGCGGCGATCTCGACCGCGGCCGCGGAGCTCGCGGCCGCGGAGGCGCGCGCGCGCGACGCCGCGGCCGCCGACGAGCGGGCCCGGGTGCCCCTCGAGCGCGACCGCGCCGCGGAGGCCGCCGCGGACGCCGAGGCCGCGCGCCTCGACGCCGCCGACGCCGAGGCGACGGCGCTCGCCGCGGGCGCCGAGGCGTCGGCCGCGGACGCGGCGCGCGAGGCCGCCGCCGCCGAGCGCGAGGCGGAGCGCCTCCGCGCCGAGGAGGCCGTCGCCGAGTCGCAGGCCGCGGCGGCGGAGGCCGACGAGGCCGCCGCCGAGGCGGCGCCGGTCGCGAAGGCCGCCGCCGAGGCGGCGCCGGTCGCGGAGCCGGCCGTCGCGGCGCCTCCGGTCGCGGAGGCGGCCGTCGAGGCGGCGCCGGTCGCGGAGCCCGTGGAACCCGCGGAGCCCGTCGTCGCGGAGCCCGCGCCGGAGCCGGAGAAGCCGGCGGAGACGCCGGTGGAGCCCGAACCGGCGCCCACGGAGCCCGAACCGGCGCCCGCGGCGCCGCCCGGAGACGCGGCGTACCTCAACTCGGCGGCGCCCTTCGACTTCTCCGCGATGATGGACGACGACGTCTTCGGCGCCGACGACTCGGACGACGACGTCGCGGAGCGCGAGGCGCCCGACGACGAGCCCGCGCCGGCCGTCGCGGCGCCGGAGGAGGTCGCCGCGGACGTCGGCAAGGCGGTCGCGGCCGGCGCGTCCTTCGACGACGACCGCGGCGCGCTCGCGGGGGAGGAGCTCCGCGACGCGAACCCGCGCGGCGCGCCGCCGGCGGAGGCGGAGACGGCCGCGCCGGAGCCGGCCGCGCCGGAGCCGGCGGTCGCCGAGGAGGCCGCGCCGGAGCCCGCGGCGCCGGAGCCCGCGCCGGAGCCCGCGGCGCCGATCGCGCCCGCGGCCGCCGAGGAGCCCGCGGCGCCGATCGCGCCCGCGGCCGCCGAGGCGCCCGCGTCGCCGATCGCGCCCGCGGCCGCGGCGCCCGCGGGCGACGGCGCCGGGCCGCGCCTCTTCTCGTCTGCGTTCCTCGCGCCGGCGCCGGCGCCGCCCGGGGTGTCGCCCATCGAGAGCGAGAGCGAGCGCGACGCGCGCATCGAGGCGGCGCTCGGCCGCGTGAGCGAGGAGGAGGCCTTCGCGGCGCGCGAGAAGCCGCTCCGCCCCGCGCCCATCGAGGTCGGCCGGCCGCCCGCCAAGGGCCTCGAGCGCGTCGGCAGCGACCCGGAGCTCCAGCCCCAGTCGGCGTCGTCCGACATCAGCCTCCGCGTGTCGCGCGAGAACTGGGAGCTCGCGGGGTCGCCCACGACGCCGACGTCGCCGGGCTTCGACGAGCACGACCTCGACGAGAACGGCGTCCCGCGGCGGCGCAGCGTGCGCTTCTCCCTCAACGCCAACAGCATGAGCTTCCCGGCGATCCCCGGCTCGCCGGCCTTCACCGACGATCCCCACCAGTCGCCGCCCGAGGGCTACCGCGCGCCGCCGCCGCCGCCCGCGCCCGCCGCGCCCGCGCCCGAGGAGTGCTTCGACATCTTCGTCATGGAGGACGGCGACGAGTACGAGAAGGACTCGCTCCCGAGCCTCTGCGGCGTCATGGACGCCATCGGCTGCGCCGACACGCGCCGGCCGCCGGTCTCGCCCCGCCGCCCCATCTAGGACGCGACCGCGCCTTAATCGTCATCCGACGAGTCCGCGCGCCTCCGGAAGGCCCAGTGCGCCACGGCGCGCGCGAGCGCCGGCTTCGACCGCCGCAGCTTGAGCGCCGCGGAGCGCGCGTTGCGCGCGACGACGACGTTCTGCGTCACGGCGACGCACGTCTCTTCGCAGAGCGTCGCGTGCCAGTGGTCCGCGGGCACGTAGACCGCGTCGCCGGCCTCCTGCGTGACGACGCCCGCCGGCCCGGCGTCGAACCATGCCCTGGAACATGGCTCCGTCGTCCAGACGACGGACGTCGCCGTGGTCAGGCGCGGCGCGAACCGCGCGCCCCGCGGCGGCGCGGCGGCCGGCGGCGAAAAGGCCCAGGTCTTCCGGCCCGAGAGTAGAACGTTCCACGCGTCCGTGCCGTCGGGATCGACGTGCCACCTCGACCCTGCGCCTCGCGGCCCCGCGAGCACGTAGCGCCGCTCGCGCGCGAGCGCCGTCAGCGCGTCGTCGTCGGTCGTCGGATCCGCAGCGAGCGCCGCGAAAACGTCGTCGTCCGCGCCGAGCGACGGGAGCGGCGGGTAGGCGAGTCCGTCGCCGGATCCGTCCTGGGCCACGCGGTCGTCGATGACGTAGAGGGGCTCGGCGTCGCGCTGGTCCGCAGCGTAGCGCGCGAAGTCGGCGAGCGTCATTCGGACGTCGCACGGCTCGCCCTGCGCGACGCAGCGCACGAGCCGGCGCGGGCTCCGCGCGGCGAGCGCGGCGAGCGTCCAGCCGGTCAGATCGTTCGCCTGCATGCAACCCCGCGCGAGCGCCGGCCGGCCGGCGGCGACGAGCCGCGCCGCCGCGTCGCGCGAGGGCAGGACAACGCCGTCGGCCGTCGGCGCGTCGTCGGCCGGCGGCGCGTCCTCGGTTGGCACGACAATTGCGGCGCCCAGCAGCGTCGCGCGCCAGGACCTGCGCCACGTAACTATAGGTTCGAGCTCGGCGTCGTCGTGGCCGCGCTGGGCGCGGGCCAGCGCCTCCCGCCGCCAGAGCGACTCGTCGCGCAGGGCCGCGCGCCATGATGTTGCAACGAGCTCGGCCGAATGCACGTCCGCGAGCGCGAGCCACACGCAGCACTGCGGCAATTTGTCGATCGCAGCGCTGCCTAGGCGCCCGGCGCTCATCGATTCGCACAGCTCATATGCATGCCGGCCGAGCTTCACCTTCACCGTGCACGTCAAGTTGCCCCTCCCAAACGCGGTCCGAGACACTTACAACTCTCCGGCCTTGGATGCCTTCTTCTTTGCCTCGGCCGCGGCGGTGGCTTCGGCCCTGTACGTGTACATGGCCTCGTTGAAGAAGGAGGGGCTCTGCTCGTAGCCCTTGCCCTGCTTCTCGAGCGCGGCGGCGATGTCCTCGAGCTTCGCGCTGACCTCGTCGTGGCCCTTGCCGTCGAAGGGCAGCTGCGACCTCGTCGCCTTGAACATGTTCGGGAATTGCTTCCGGATCTTCTTGGCCGTCTCCGCGTCGATGTGCTCGAGCACGCACAGCTTCACGGGCCCGGATCGCTGCATGCTCAGCACCATCTGGCCAAAGAAGGTGCCGATGTCCTCGTGGCTGGCTGGAAGGATGCCCAGGAGGCGCGTCAGCTGGATCTCCTCGAAGTTGTGGATCATCTCCGCGTCGCTCTTCGACGGCGCAGATGTGACGACGTAGCAGCGCGGCAGCGTCTCGTCGCTGCTGCATTTGAAGGAGTCGACCGTCAGGATGTTGACCTGCTTGCCGCCGAGATCATAATTCTGCGCGAAGCAGGCCTGGAGCAGCGCGACGACCGCGAGCCGCAGCGTCCGCGCAGGCATCGTACGAGAAGAAGGGGCTGCCTGCCACGGGGAGCGCCGAGAGCCACCAGCTCGGAGAGCCGCCCCGATTTGGATTGTTGATGTTGACGGTGTCGCAAAATGGCTTACCCGTGCCGGTGTCCTAGTGGACGGCGAAGCGGTAGAGGCAGGTGTAGGGGCCGAAGCCGTGGTTGGACTCGATGGCGAGCTTGACGTAGTTCACGGACGGCGCGTGCGGCGGCCGCGTCGCGGGGAAGCTCTGGAGGGGCGGCCCGTCGAGGTCGAAGACGAAGGAGCCCAGGTCGATGGCGTGCTTGCCGTCGAGGGCCTCGTAGCCCGTGACGGAGAAGGCCTTCGGCGCCGCCGACGCGCGGGACGTGAGGAGCCGCGGCACGTGCTCGACGACGAACGTCGCCGGCGCGGCGGGCGCGGCGAGCGCGATCGTCACCTCGCCGGCGGAGCCCGCGAAGGCCCAGCAGCGGCCCGGCTTCGGCGGCGCGCCGTGGGGCCGCGACGCGAGGATGACGTCCGGGGGCAGGCCGTGGTCGTCGAGGCCGAGCGCGTGGCGCGCGCGGAGCTTGAGCGGCAGCCCGCGGACGTAGTCGTCCGTCGTGTTCGCGCGGACGACGGAGCCGCCCGCGCGCGTCGACGCGTAGTCGAACTGGCCCGCGCGGTCCCGCGCGAGGGCCTCGAGGCGGTCGCCGACGAGGGCCTCCGCCGCCGCGGCGTCGAGGCCGCGGCCCGCGGCGGCCGCCGCGGTCCGCGCCGCGGCGACGACGCCCGCGAGCGGCGCCGCGGCGGCCGCCAGCGCGGCGCGCGCGGCGTCGCCGAGCCAGTCCGTCGCGTCGCCGCCCCCGGCCTTGGTCGTCAGCGCGCCCGCGAGGTTCGCGAGCGTCTTCGCCGCCGCCTCGGTCTCGGCGGCCGCGCCGTCGCCCGCGTCGAACGCGTCCGCGAGCGA